CAACAACAACAACAACCACAACAGTGACAGCGACGACGACAATCACGACGACAACTGCGGCAACCGCGACAACTACAACAACATCAACAACAACGGCAACAATGAACATGAGAGGCAACAGTGATACACTGACAGTACGAGGAATCAACAAGACATCACAGATACAGTTCACATGATACAAACGAGTAGTAGGAAGGTCATCAGAGCGAAAGTTGTGATCACCACAGTGACCATGGTACAAAATCGGGTTTCATCACAATGGGTGAGCCAAAGAGATGTTACGGGCTTCACCATCAATCAGCAGGAACATACTTCACTTTGCTGATAACCCGACCATGCCTGACCAGTACCGTAAAACAGGTGCCATTATCATGTTCGCAGAAGTAATCGCACGAGTCAGGAAGGAAAGCAGCTATGACCAGAGTTGTAGACGTTTCCCAGTGATCATCACGCGTAGACATGTAATTTTTTACAGCGACTAGCGATGATTACATGGGCCATTTATGGTCCGCATGGCTTTAAAATAGCCTTATCGAGAATGATCGAATTGGTGGCGACGAACAGTCGCAACACCAGCAAGCATAATACTACGTCATACCCGTCGTAACATATCGTTACTAGCAACAGTAACGGTAGGTCTAATACATTATTCATGGGCCTCGTTTCGTTTTTGATTCAGATTTCTACATATCTGTTGCTGCTGTCAGTTCACGAAACTCGAGGGAAGCCCCCCCGTCCCCTACACCCCCAACACAGCCAACACAGACCCGAAGCAGAGCCAAAATCCGGAACCCAAGCGCCAAACCTTGAACGACCCTAAGCCCTCAACCCTGAACCCAAAACCCCCACACCCTGAACCGTGAGAGAGGGACCCCGTCAGGTGACCTTACACCGTGCCAGCTCCTTTTCTCTGGGCGATGCCCGGAAGAGGAAGCCAATGCAGAGGATGTTTGCCCGGAAGAGGAAGCCAATACTGAGGATCTTTTTTGTGTGTGAACAGGCTGCAGCCCGGATCTGGCTCGAGCCAGGACAGGTTTAAAGCCTAAAGGCTAAAACAACAGCTGGCAGGAGAAACCTGTCTGAAGGGGGTCCCAAAGGTACACCGAGAGTTGTTCAGGCTTATCAACTTTCCACCTTTGCGCTGCCGAGATATTTGGCGGGACCCCCAAGCTATGCACTATAACAGCATATAACAGCCTGCTTAGCCAACTTCAGGAATGCGGCCTCCCTTTACCGGAAACAGGGTTGTTCCTCCATTCTCGAGTGCTTTTCTCGCTGTGTGTGCACTTACGTGTGCGAGTGTCCGTGTTTGTGCCGCGTGTGCACGCGTATGGACGTGCATCTATACATACTGCATGAGCACGCCATAGTTACATGCTTGATGCGTGCAACTGTATGTAATGCATTTATGTATGTATGCATGAACGAATGTATGAAGGTATGAATGTATGAATGTATGAGTGAATGAATGAATGAATGAATGAATGAATGAATGAATGAATGTATGTATGTATGTATGTATATACGTATAGTATGTATGGTCTGTATGGTATGTATGGTATGTATGGTATG